AACAAAAGAAAAGAAGACTAAACCCAGTTATGATTTTATTCTTGGCTATACATAATACGTATCTTTTAGAAACCATACTTTAATATATATTCAGAATGAAGATTTTATGAATGGAATAAATTAAACACACCACATTTTAAAGTAAACAAGAAAGATAACTCTTAGAGGGGAAAATGCAATTAATTCGTTTCCAAGAGTTATTTCCCATAATTAACTGCCAATACACAGGTCAAACGTTTTTACATGAAATGGTATTTGTAACAACAAAAATATCTTCATCATTTTAAAATAGGTATTTGTAACAACAAAAATATCTTCATCATTTTAAAATAGAGTGAAAACCTGAATATAGTGAAGCCGTGAGTTGCAAATCATGTATGTTAGTTAAAATTGAAATCATATATGTTAATATCAAGAATATGAGCCTTTCACAACTTCTGTAGTCAGATGACTATCTGACAGATTGGAATTTAATTTTTTCTAAATATTATCATGCACCAGTGAGAGGTACCTATATCAGAAATCAATGTCTTAAATGAATGGAAGAAGTTGTGATTGGACAATTATATTATATGAAATTACACCCAAATAAGAATTCAATATAAAAAAATTAGCAAATATTTTGAAATCAGGACAAAATTCTATAGCCCCCTGACGAGTGTTCATTTGCGACATATTTGAGGTTACAGTTAGAAAAAAAAAATCAGTGAGCAACAAGATGTATTTGTACATTTTTTTCTTGGATAATTGTCTAAATTTTTGTCTCAAATGAACATTTTTCACTGGAGAATTTTGTTTCGGGTTTCAAAACTATAAGAGTCAGTGTGGCAGATACATAACTGCAATGGCTTTATAAACAATTTATCTTCCAGGTTAAATGTGACCAAAGGACACTGACTTTGAAATCATACAATTTACAGATAAACTTGGTTATTTTGAATGTTGATATACTATGGATATGTTGAAATAATTGGACGGTCCAGACATCTGTTATGTTAATGTGCCCTGGTTATTTTGAACCATCATGTATATCTCGAAGTTAATCTTGGTTCACTTTACGATAGTTCTAAATGATGAGGTTTGACTGTGATATGAAAAGCATAAGAAAACTGATCTTGATAGTGTAAAAGGGGAGGGGGGAGAGAGTGATAATCTGTTATCATTCAAAAGCTAAAATCAGTTTTCCCTATCTAATTCAAAAGCTTAGGCAAGTAATATTATTATTGTCAAAATTTTTGTTCCTATGACAATACTTGCACCCTTACCCCTTACACTGAGAGACAATAACAAGTGGTCCATAAGTCACACTGATTAACTTTTTTGTCCAGCTGCAACTAATTTTTAAGAACTATTCCCTCTTTCTTAACATGAAAATTTGAACCCCAAGAGGAAAGGGATGGGGGGTGTCTTGACCTATGCAGACTGTAATCCACACATGAGAGTATTTAAGGTCCTAATACATTTGAAAGATGTTTCAAAAATTTAATTCAATAAATTACAATATACATGGAGCTGAGAAAGAACTTCGAGATATATCTTAAAGGATTCGTGATATTGAGGGTAAATTTACTTAAAGAATATGTGCATGGTTGGGTCTTCCAAATCACTTTGACATATCCATGGTATTCAAGATAGAGTTCGAGATACCAAAGTTCAACTGTATTATCCACTACTGTAACCCCCTTCCCCCCAACACTCTACACAATCCATGAATAGAACATTTGATTTCAATTCACTAATTGACCTTTTTGTACTTTAATTACAATTGAAAACTAGAGGCCCATGGGCCACATCCCTCACCTGAGTAACTTTGGTGATACACTTCTTTACCACATTTCCCCTCTTCTAACATCTGTTGTGGTCCCTACCCACCCCCCCCCCCACCCCACCCCATCTTGATTTTAATAATTTAGAATCTAAACTACCCCAGGATGCATCGACATAGGTTTCAGCTTTCCTGGGCCACTGGTTCCTGAGAAGAAGATTTTTTCCATTATTTTTCTATATAAAACTTGGATTCCCTCTTGAGGCCCCACCCTACCCCTGGAGGTCATATGATTTTAACAATTTAAAATCTACACAACCCACATAAGTTTCAGCTTTTCTGGCCCACTGGTTCTTGAGAAGAAAATTTTTAAAGATTGTTCCTATATATTTCTATGTAAAACTTGGATTCACTATTGTGGCCCCATCCTATCCCTGGGGGTCATGATTTTTACAATTAAGAATCTACACTCCTCTAGGATGCTTCCACATAAGTTTCAGCTTTTCTGTCCCAGTGAATCTTAAGAAGGTTTTTTAATAACCCACTCTATTTTAGTATTTTCTTGATTATCTCTCCTTGAAAGGGGGCCTGGCCCTATATTTTAACAATTTCAATTCCCCTTTACCCAAAGATGCTTTGTACCAAGTTTGCTTAAAATTGGCCCAGTGGTTCTTGAGAAGAAGTTGAAAATGTGAAAAGTTAACAGACGGACAGCTAGGCAGACGGACAGATGACGGACAATGGGTGATCAGAAAAGGTCACTTGAGCTTTCAGCTCAGGTGAGCTAAAAATTACTAGAGGTAAGGGGCATAACTGATGCTATAATTGTAAAAAAAATTATGAAATCTTGGTGCATTTTTCTCCCTAAAATAGTTGAAGTTAAATAATTTGTCTTTTATGAAATTTACCGATGAAGTAGTTAAAAATTCAAATATCCAGAAAATATTGTGGTACATGTACATTTTATAGAGTATAAGTTGAATTTCATATTTTAGGAGATTTGGAAATTACACAATATACAATTAAACTTAGCTATCTCGAATACCGATATGATTTTTTCCAACTCAGGTGTTGCAATTATTTTGAAGTTAATGGTCATAGACTAAATGTATTAGTAAAATTGGGTATCTCTAGAACCATTTATTTAATAGAATTTTTTTTGGAATCCACAGGTTGTTGACATCCTGAAGAAAATTCACAATGAGTTTACTAAAGAAATGAAGGAGGGGAAAGTTAAAAATCTATCCAATCCTCTAAGGAGACTGTCAACTGCCACAGGTATTTAGAAGTGATTACAGTAAAACACATCTATAACAATATGCCAGGAACATACAAGTTTGCTTTGTTATAATGGTAATTCATTATATCCATACAGTGTTCAATGTTTTTAAAGTCAAGAATGAAAATAATTTTGTTTAAAGCATGTTTTATAAGTGTGTTTAGCTGTTTCATACATAGATCCTATTACAAACAAGATGCCTAGGGGTCACATCGCTCACCTGAGCAATTGGCTAGGGAAAAGCACATATCAGATCAGAACTGAAAGTTGGGGGGGGGGGGGGGGAGAAGGTTGCTTGAATTTTAACCCCCAAGGGGGTCATGATTTGAACAAACTACAATCTTCACTACCTGAGGATGATTCCCTATAAATATCACTAAGCATGGCTTTGAAGTACTTGAAAAGAAAATTTTAAAAGGTTTCTCTATATATTCCTATGTAAAACTTTAATCGGCCATTTGGCCCCATCCTACCCTCTGGGGTCATGATTTGAACAAACTTGAATGTACACTACCTGGGGATGATTCCACATGAGTTTCATCTTTCCTGTCTCAATGGTTCTTGAGAAGATTTTTCCTACATATACCTAGTAAGTAAAACTTTGATCGGCCATTTTGGCCCCATGGTTTTTGAAAAAACTTGAATCTACACTACCTGAGGATGATTCCACATTAGTTTCATCTTTCCTGTCTCAATGGTTCTTGAGAAGAAGATTTTTTAAAAATGCAATTAATTTTTCTCTAATTCATAATTATCTCCCCTTGGAAAAGGGCGTGGCCCTTCATTTGAACAAACTTGAATCCCCTTTACCCAAGGATACTTTGTAGCAAGTTTGGTTGAAATTGGCCCAGTGGTTCTTGAGAAGAAGATAAAAATATGAAAAGTTTACAACGACGACAACGACAGACAACGGACAAATTTTGATCAGAAAAGCTCACTTGAGCCTTTGGCTCAGGTGAGCTAAAAAATGTTTTGATGAGCAAATTGCAATTTTTTAAAGGGGGGGGGGGGGTCATTATATAAATTTCTAAATATTTTGATAATGATGGTAAACTGTTGATTAGCTTGATGGATACATACACTATATTCATATTCAAATATTTTTGCTCTAGAAAAAAAAAAAAAGACATAATATTTGCAATTCACCCTCTTATACATGTGAAGTACCGGTACATGAATGTTTTACATAATTTAGGAATATCAGAAAGAAATCTAAAGACGTGGATTTTCCCAGATGCTGTACATGAAGTGGTTGAAGATCTGCAAGTTCCTCCTGTAGAGCAGAAAATCCACTCCAATAAGGGGCTCGATGACTTCGATGAGGACCTGGTGAAAAGGACCATCCATGAGATGCAGTTGAGGGGCGAGTATGTTTCTCTCCGTCGACTGACAGGTGTGTTGGTGGAAAGGGGAATCAGGATCACCAAGTCATCCCTGGCAAGACTCGTGAAGAAACACCAGAAGTTTTATGTTTAAATAGAATATTTCTTCTATTTGTAGTTTTGTCTGGGACGAAAAACTTTAAAATGTAAATATATAGATATTAAGTGAAAATTGGATTGAAACTTGTCTTTTTCCAAGGGCAATAACTTTTGTGAATAGATAAATCACTAAAAACTGTAACTACTGGTAGGTTAAATATTAGCTCATTATCTACAAACATAAGAGAAAAAGAGACATATATAAAAGTACAATAGTAAACACAATCTGCTGTATTCATTTCTTTGTGGCTATGGCAAAAAAGTCCTTTTTATTTCATGTTATCTAGTTTAGAGATATGGTAAACAGTTTAATTAATATAAATTAACTGGTAAATCTATGATACATGCATTGTTAAATGATTAATTATCTTTCAAAAGGTGGGACTGTGTGTAACTAATCTCTATATGCCCCCTCCCCCCTTCATTGCTGCTGTCTGTCGGTCGGTCTGTCAGTCCACCAAGCTTCCGTTCATAGTCTTCACAACTGTTGCAGTTACTGAAATGATCTAAATTTGGTATACAGATTTATCATAAGAATATCTAAGACAAGTTCTGTTTTGGGTGCTACATGTATCACTGAAAGTAATGAATATAATTCTTGGTTTGAACTCCTGTTTGCAGATCCATGCAAACTTAAATCTACACTTTATGAGGATGCTTGTATGTGAATTACAATATTTGCCCCCTTGCTGTTTCAAAAATGATTTCAAACTTATTTTTTAAATATACAGACTTGTGATAAATTTCATTCTTATTTTCTTATTGAGTTAATGAACTGCAAAAGGAGAAAAGGACATAGGTAAAGAAATTATTATATTTCACAGTATGCGTGCTTTAACTCTACCTTTGGGTATGGAATTAAAAAGTATATTACATGATTAGTTACACACAATGCCCCCTACCGAACCAACAAACCTGACTTTGGATGAGTGAAGCTGCTTCCCCTTCTCTGTATCTCCTGCATGTTAACTTTTCACAGGCCAGCATTTAGTCTCAGTTCCTTATTGTGGTCCACTTCTCCTCTACAATTGGGACTTGCATGATAAATATATTTTTCATTTCTTGTTATCATTATTATACTTTGTAAAATTCAATCAACTGTTAAAAAAATATTGTACAAGTTTCAGTGGTTTAAATTCATTGGTAATTTTAATACTGAAACATTTGTTTATATAGATAATTCCTGTTGTACTTGGATAAAATCTGATTTGATATATGCTGTTATCTAAATTATATACATATTATCAATTGCAAGGAAAGTTATACAAATCTATACAATTTCATTGGTTTTAATTAATTCACCAATGTACAGTAAAACTGGTACTTATTCTTCATACAATTTATTTAACTGAAACAAAAAGATATAAAATTTCTACTGTAGTTTCATTTCTGCATCATAAATTTACTGTGATAATTAAGTGTGTTGTGATATATTTATCATGTTTTTGTTAAATTGTATATATTAATTTCAAGCATATATATTATGCATCATAAATTTACTGTGATACTTTGAATGTGTTGTGATATATTTATTATGTTATTGTTAAATTGTATATAGAAGTACTTATTTCAAAAATATGAACTGTTAAATTGTTTATATTTATTTCAAGCATATGAATTATGATAAATATAAAATCTGTACTGTTGTAATTAATTAATTAGATTTATATATTTCTCCTGTCTTTAATGTATTCATTCTATACACTAGCTGTGATAAAAATTTTGCTGTTTTCTCCTGCAATCTACATCTACATGTATTTTCAATCTTTTTCTTCTTTGTGATAAGTACTTGGCTGTTTAACAATTTTTTTTCACTTATCTACTCAAAATAATTCACTGCAATTAATCTACTCTTTCATTTTTTATGAAAATAGAAGTATTCTTACATTTAAATTGTAATTGCTATTCAATGAAATTGTTTAAGTGAAATGTTTGAATTGTAAGTTGTTTTCACACAGAGATGTAATTGTTATTTACATATGCAATGCATTTTTACTCAAAATTCTTATAAAGTTTTCTGTATATGACTGTCTGTTTGCATTATGGTTTTATCATGTAATACTTAAGGTTCTTTCAACCAAACATTGAATGTGTACTAAGGTGGTGTGAAATGCACTGCAACAAAGTAATATTTTGTAGTCTAGCATAATTAATAGCAGTAATTTACTGCAATATGTGAAAATAATTGTTACAAATCTAGACTACAATAGCAAAATGTGGTGAAGCATATACATATACCTACATGGGGCCATGAATATGATAACAGAGGTTTGCAATATTCAGTACACATTTCATTGTTGGTTTACATGATAATGGAGTCACTGGCACGACAGAAATGTCTGTAAACTTCCGTCTTTGTGACATAGCCAAATGTTTACATACAGTCCAAGTATGCAATTTAATTTTTTCTTTAAATATCTTATTCTATGTTTGATTTACCAGTATAGCAGGTTTCTGTGTGCAAAATATTTAAGGAGAATTTCAATGCTAGGCTGATTAACTCGTTAACTTAAGTCCTGAGTTTTTTTTTATAATGTATTCTTAAATCATTATCACAATTTTTGTATAAAAAATATTTGGCAATTCACGATATTAACTTTATTGCAAAGTAAAAAATAATTGTTTATAGACATTTAAATAATTAGCTGAGACTGTTTATAAACTAAATATAATGTATGTACGATGTTTTTTTTATTTTAAAATAAATATTATTTACTGTTATTCCATACCATGTTTTGTTTTGTTTTTTAATATTGAAATCCTTAGACAATGTGCTATGCATAACTCAGTAATGTGGTGTCCAGTGATTGACATGTTACAGGGGCTGACAAATAGATTTTTAAGGCACCTGTCCAAGGGTAAGAACATAGTAAAAATTTACTTGCCCTAACTGAATTTTTGCTTGTCCTACCAAAAACTAATATTGTACTATTTATGAATTTTATAAAAAAAAAAGGAAGACAAATACTGCATGGGTAAATCATTCAAGTCCCTATGCCCAGCTTTATGGCTTACATACTGATTTTATTTTTGATAAGTTACTTGCCAACGGGCAAGTAGTTGACAAAACTTCAGTTGTCCATCCCTAAAATTCACTAGCATTGGGTGTCGGGCAATGGGATTTATCATCCCCTGTGCTACAAAAACATTGTGTCAAATTAGCAAAGATAATCATCATCTCTTTCAAGCAAGGAGAGGTTTAAACCTGAGACATAGCTATGAGCCTATGACCAAGTGTTTTATGTATCAGACCAATAAATTATCACTGCCAGGCCATCTTTAAAATAATGTTTGTTTGCCCCCTCCCCCCTGAATCAAGGTAAAATTATTGGTCCGATGAATAGGTGGGAAAAAAAAATTTTCCATAGAATTTCAACAAATTTGTTGGTGGGATAAAGGGAATAAAAAGAAGAAGGAAAAAATGCCCTGAAATTTGAAAAAAAAAGTTTTGAGTTGGGCCATATTTAGTCAGTTGGTCGAGAGAGGGCAACTAAACAATTTTTTAAGATGGCCTCATATGTCATATTAAAACATGTAAAAGACAATTACAGCATGGAAATATTGACAGAAGAATTATTATTTCAATTGAGTACCGTGCATACTGGCCTATAAGTTGGTTGCATTTTTTAAGCTTGTAAATAAGAGAGGGATTGAGTCCGATTGACCCTAAAAGATACCAACCTTTTTTATAACTCACCTATAAGTCAGACTAAGAATTTTGGACCAAAGTTTAACTCCCCCCCCCCAAAAAAAAATTAGAGGCGAGTATATACGGTATATCTGATGAAATTTTGAATGGTCTGTAACATTTATGTGTTGATCTACATGTTCCAAACTTTTCTATATGGAAAAAGGATTTCCTGACATACATATATATAAATGCAATAGCTATAATATAGAGAATTTCTGTCTCACCCCTTTGAGGTTGTAACATCAGCTCGTGACCATATTTTTGTTTACATTTTAGTTTCATACCATGATCTTGCAGATCTGGAAATGAAATTATATCCCTCATCAAAAGCTACAAATCTTAACCATAGGCGCTCCCCATGTAATTCTGTAAATGACGTAGGTCTACCCCTCTATACTATAAAATATAGTATAGAGGGGTAGACCTATATATACTTATCATACGTCATTTACAGGATTACATGGGGAGCGCCTATGATCTTAACATTTAAAGTTAAACTCAATATATATTATACACATTTATGAGTATACTGGAGGCTACAGAATTTATTTAGCAATGAAGGTCTCCAGAGTGTTGATACTACACATAAATGTAAAAATAAAAATGCACTTTAGATCTCTTGCTTAATTTTTTTGTTACATATATTAATCTGCCAAATGCATGTACATGAAATGTTATAATTGAAAATGAAAGTAGAAATAAAATTTAAAAAAATTAGTTACTGTGTTAATCAGCTGTTATTTCCATTTGGTATCATTTCACCTAATTGTTTAACCATTTTCTTTTTCCATTATAATCATAGATATACCCCTTTTACATTTTTCACACATTGGCTTACATACAGACCGTTATCAGGTCCAGCACAATACCCCGATAAAGGTATTTAGCTTGATAAAGCTATATAGCTTTATCAAGGTATTTAAAATACCTTGATCAAGGTATTTCATGTAATGAAAATTCAAGAAAATTCTTTAAAAATTAAATACTGAAAGTCGAATTCTGAGTTTTTGCCAGTGTGTCTATTTGTGCATGAAAAACACTCTGGTATAAAAAAGAAAGTATAGAATAACGTCTCCTCTTACGACACGTTTTTATACTGATTTGTTTGTGTTTGAGTACTTTACATGCATGGGTGAATTTACTGACAACAACTCAGAACTCGACTTTCAGTAATTAATTTTTAAAGAATTTTTTTGAATTTTCATTACATAAAATACCTTGATCAAGGTATTTTAAATACCTTGATAAAGCTGTATAGCTTTATCAAGCTATATACCTTTATCAGGGTATTGTGCTGGACCTGGTTATAGCACTAACGGTTTACCATGAGCCCTAAGCAGATATATAAATGTCAGCATGTCACGCGTAATAAAATAAATATATATTCTGATCATTTGTAGACACTTCTTTCTTGTGTGTATATAAGCTAGTAAAACAACAACAGCTACATAAAAATACCATAGATTAAATAAACAACTTACCGTCTTACGTTTTTAAACACTGGCGAGCTTGCATCATCATGTCAACATCCATTATCCACAAGTTGTACTTCGTTAGATTCGGACTATTTTCTCGCAGTTTATTATTAAATTTTGTAAATGCTGTTAAAATATATTTTATTTCGAAGTAAAGGTTATTTTATCAATAAAAGCAATTTAAATGAATTCCTTTAATTTTTAAAGATTTTTTGTAAATTTATTCTGCAAAGGACGACTACTCCCTTCGAAAACTGGTTCCCGGCCCCGTAACCTAGACGTTAATGGACGAGTTTACCATGTTAAATCCCCGTAGACTTTGAATTTGCCGCCGTGTGTATACACTGGTTGACCTCGAGGGTTCGGATAAACGGAGGAATGTTGGAAAAAAAATGATCTATTAATCGTAACTGGTTTAAATGCCAAGGTATTTATATATTTTGAGATATTATGCGAAAAGTGCTTACAGTAAGATGGTGGGACAGACTATAGTATTAAAATTAAATTAGTTACTTGTACATATACCTATAAGGGATATCAGAGAAGCTTCATAACAGTACTACTAGTTTTAGTAGTTTATTATATATAATGTGTTTGCTTTAAAAATGCTTCCAAAAATTACTGAGAATTTTTTCGTGAAATGCTTAATCAAATAATTAAGAAATATTTTTGTCAAAGTTTGATATCATTTTTTAAAATAAAATAACAACTCTTGCTACCTTTTTATTTTTCAAGCAGCTTTCATGAATAACTTATTCTTTGTATACTTCCGGTCAATCGCTAATGCTCAAAATTTGTGTTGCCTTTATTGTAAATGTTAACTATTTAAAAGATTCAAAACTATTGAATTTAACATATTTAATTGTAATATATTTATACAATGGGATTGGGCACAACTTCTTAAAACTATTGATACTTCTGAAACACTGAGTATTAATATGTCGACTATTGCTTCATCTGGGACAAAATATTGAAAAAATGGAATGAAAATTGACAAATGAGAGGAGATATTATGGCTATAATGAAACCCCATTTTTCTCCAATCTGTGTAGTTTTTCTTGAGTAAATATTTAAGCCTTTTATTGTTAGAAAGTATGGGATGTGGTCATTAAAAAAATAGAAACATTAAAATATTATATTATTGTATGTTCTAACTTCAAAATTTTAGATAAATGTATCCTGAAAAAGGATGACTGCACTTAACGCCGGTTTTTGGGTCTTTTTCAATCTCTGTTGTCACATTTATTTTTGTTTTTATTTTTGTCGGAAGTCATTTGTTTTAGAGTTTGGTCTATTTCCAAATGAAATGCAATGTCATAAAGGTTATAAACTGCGTTGCAATAAAATAATTCGTTGTTTCCTTACCCCACCTCTAAGCAAATATCGGGAAATTAGATTTATCTGCCCTTGAATGAAGATAAGATATATAAATATGCATAAGAGAAGGAGCTAATATTGTTATGAGTGGTCTAAAATTAGAATAGTTAGTGTATTTAAACTTTGTGCTCTCTCTCTCTCTCTCTCTCTCTCTCTCTCTCTCTTCATATGTTTGTCACTTTTATCTTTTAAGTTTTCAAATAAAGTATATAACTAATAACAAATCACACCGGTCGGTAGAAGTAGTCATTCTCATTGATAATCAAAAGCAATGGCTGATGTCAACAATTTGCGTGTTCGAATATAAGTGCCGACTTGCTCAGTCGGTAATGCAAAGAATCAATAATATTCAGATCCGGGATCGAGACCCGCTAACAGCAGTAAGAATGACTTTATTTTTCCCTTTTATAAAAAAGAAAGAAAAACATCACACTTACTTTTTAAAAAAAAATTAGTTTCTTTTATAATTACTTTTCCGTATAAATTAGCGAGCTGGGGAATTTCAATTTTATTTACTGGTTCTTACTTTAGATGTTCATATTAAACAATGGTTCAAACATATAAATGAATCTCTTTCTTCATGAAGACTATGAACATGTAGAGACATATAATACACTCAAAAATATATAAAGATAGTAAAATGAAATGATTTTGAGATAAATATAAGAATAATCTTATAGATATCAAGGAGAAAAAAATAGCCCGTGCTCGATGGGAATGGATTGAAACAGATATGGACAATCACTATCGCCCAACAGAATGTGTGTTTCCTTACACGTCACGTGATGGAATTTTAGTATTCACAGAGTTACCTGGGTATAGAAATCACGTGGTTAATTATAATATTCAACAGGTAACAACGTGGTCAAAATGGCCTGTTTACTATAGAGAAAGTGAACACACGAGAAAGAGTTTTTTCTCTTTTTAACCATGAGCGCATGTTTGTCTATTGATCTCCTTTTGATATGAGGTAATTTATATAAATATACAACTACCATCAAAAGGAGAACAATAGACAAACATGCGCTGACTATGCATTAAGCCTGTAAAAAGGTGGGCGTACTCATTATCCTATGGAGATTCCAGAATATGCGATGACCCCTCCCTATAAAAACGACTTCGAATTTCGTTAATACGAACTTTTAATTAACGTAATTACACAAAGTTGCAGTTAAGACATTTACCATTTCTACCATTAAAAGAAAGATGTCCATCTTTAAAATTGATTATGTCGCAATTTTTAAGTTTCCTTAAGTGCAGTCATCCTTTCTCAATAATTTCTGGGAACACTGTATGTTTCAACTGTGATAAATTTCCTGTTTTTTCCCTAAAACTAAGACTGACAAGGATATAACTGTTAAGAGTGTCGTGAGAGGGGAGGGGAAGAAAGAAGAGGTGATCCCCGTAACAAACGGACAGGAACTTCTGACCAGGTTTAAACTGAGTCTGGAAAAGGGAATGGTAATTTTCAAATAAATATAATTAAAACTTTTATTTTCTTACACAATGAAAATCAACACCTGGGTTAAAATGGTGTAATTTCAAAAAGTGTTTGAATTTAAGGAAGTTGCTATATGCATACATACATAAGGTAATACGTAATAAGGAAACTCCTCAGACATACATACATGTAAAGTATCACCGAATGAAACTTAATTTGAATATAGAAAAAAAAATTAACACTAAAAATTAATGTCAAATTTCTGAGCAAACACTTACGTACGTCTAGAGAATTTAATTAAAAAAGATTCAGATTAAAAAAACTTTCTTCATAAACAAGCTAATTCAGAGAACGCTTAAGGAAAATGAAGAGCGTACGCAGATCTAGAGGGAGAGGGTCCACCCAAGTTAAGTACTCCATCATTACCGCTATATTTTCAAAATTGTCATTACCGCTACATAAATTACCGCCATTGATTTGCACAGCTAATAAATGTATATACTACAGCAAATAAAACATGAATTTGGACCAGCCCAAGCCCACCCCTCCGAAAACAAAGACCCCTATTAAGAAATAGCTCTTTCACGGTTAGGAAAATGGTTCTATACTCGTAAAGATATTTTTGGGACGTTTTAGATTTTTAGAAATTTCAAACTTTGATTCAAACTCTCAAATTTTAAATAGTCAAAACACTTTTAACATTTAGGGTTTGTAGAATTTTACTTCAAGTATCCTAAATATCAAACTCCAAATCTTGTTTGAATTTTGTTACTATGCCAAACACTTTTGGTCAACCACTTAACTTTAGATAATTAAAATATTGAACTGATATTAAACATTCATCGGGTTTGGGAATTTGATATTTTGAATATCTGAAGTAAAATTTTTAAAACTCAAATTGATTTGATTACTAGTATTTGAAATTTGAATCAAAATTCCAAAGAACGAGGTGTTTAATGTGTATTCGGCAGGAATGGGGGCGCACTTGAAAAGTGAAAATTATACTGATATTTTATATGATATTTTAGCATTTTAAATTTTTAATGATACTCCAGGTTACTGTGTAATAGAAATGAATAAGGATATCTCGATATCATGTTCCGATTTCCTAAAAACAGTAATGAAATATGGCCAGATGAGTTATTTGGTTTAAAATGTTAAATTTTTCAACACTTTTTATTGTTTTTAAATAAATTTGTTATCTCTGGGTCGTTTCTCCCCAAAATGAAATTTGATTTCTGTGCATTTTTACACAAAGAAACGAGCAAACATTTCTAAAAATTGGAAAGAAGACCCAGAGACCATTAAAAATAAAGTTTTCCAAAAAAAAAATGGGATTGGCTCTAAAGCACTGCTACATTATACTCTTTAAAGGCTGTAAATTTCGAAGCAGTGATGGTTCAGTGGTACAATAGGCGGTTTTTAATGCCAAAGCACCGAAATTTTTGGTTTCGATCCTCTCATGGAGCACCTAATTTTTTTTTAGCTCTACTGGTCAGAGACCAGAAGAACTTATGCGATAGTAAAGCGTCCGTTGTCCCTCCGTCTTTCCCATTGTCTGTCTGTAAACAATTTTTCAAAATGCTACTCTTCCTACAGTTTTGGTCGGATTTCATTATAACTTTGCACACAAATAGACTATACTAAAATACATTATTCCGTGCATCGGTTTTTGATTTCGATGAACGGTGTTGCCGTGGTTACTAAAAAATAAAAATAATAATATAACTTTGCACACAAGTAGACTATACTAAGATACATATTTCTGTGCATCGGTTTTTGATTTCAATGAACGGGGTTGCCGTGGTTACTAAAAATAGAAATTTCTGTGAAAAACATTCAAAATGCTACTCCTCCTACAGTTTTGAACTGATTTCAATATAACTTGGCACAAAAGTAGACTGTACTAAGATACATAATTCTGTGCACCAGTTTTTGATTTCGATGAACGGTGTTGGCATGGTTACTAAAAATAGAGATTTCTGTGAACTACTTTCAAAATGCTACTTCTCCTCTAGTTTTGGTCTGATTTCAATATAACTTGGTACACAAGTAGACTGTACTAAGATACATAATTCTATTTATCGATTTTTTGATTTCAATGAATGGTGTTGCCGTGGTAACTAAAAATAGAAAGTTCTGTAAAATAATTTTAAAATGCTATTACAAATACAGTTTTTATTTGTTTATAATGTAAATGTGGCATGCAGATAGACTTTTTTTAAAAATTTATTTTGATGACTGATGTCACCATGGTAACTAAAAT